TCGCTGGGTGATATCGAACGACCGCCAACGACATACGCCATACGCCGCGGCTTGCTGACTCGCTGGCTGGCTGGCTAATATCGATCGCGCGAACACACGAGAGCGAAAACATAACCTCCTCCAACTCCGTTGGGCGGAGGTAACTACGTGCGGTCGTTGAGTAGAACAGCCAGTTAATCACAGTAATTGTTGGAATTTATCAATATTTTATAGTTTCGTTCGGCCCATATTCTGTAGGGTTTCATCTGGTAGTGCCCGTCGTTAAATAAGGGGTTGATTGGAAATTGATGTCACGTGAAGGTCCCTTTAAGGCGAGGTGTTCTATGATATGTAGGCTCTGTTGATAGCACCACGGATGCCGATGTTCTTCGCGCCATTTGCTGTGATTTACATATGTAAAATATTATTAATATTCAACATATTCAGTATTTGCAATCGATTAGACTCTCTTTGCGATAGGTAACGCGCCAACTGAAGTAAACCAACTAGATTAAAACTAATTAATTGATTGTCGTGTTTACCTCCAGTATGTGTTTAACATGATACGCGCGGGAAAGCACGCTCGTCTCGCTCGTCTCGCACTATGTGGGCGGTTTCTGCGATATATGTCACGCGAGTGTCACCTCACCTCGCGCGTTTTTTGTCATCGCTGTCGTCGCGCCGCAGCGCCGCGAGTGCTTTCCGCAGTGCGCCGTGTTTACGATACGTGGCCCCGCTGCGCAGTCCTGCTCGCCTTGAACTAAAATATTTACAGGGTAGGGAAGAGCGTTTAATTACGTTCTCCGTCGTCAGTAGAGGCTGCGCGATGAGTAAACGAGAACGCATGCGGCTGTTTTCTGTGCCACCCCTCCCCCCCTTCCAGCTCCCGTCGAAATTCCTGAGGTTTGAACTCGGCCTTTAGAAGCTAGGACGTGACCACGGGATATTTATTGTGTCAACACTGTTAATGCGTTTACGTAATCAAATGACCAAAGTGTGTTAGTCGGCACTACCGTGGGACGGCTGTACTGTACGTCCCACTTTCTTACTTGATATTAGATCGAGTTTTAGAGTGTAGTGTTGTGCGAAGATATTTGTGACTTTGTTAATCTAGTACTTCTGCACGTTATCAACGGTGATTCGGTGGTTCGCACATCCCGCAACAACTCTCCCCTTGTCCCACACGCGCGCGCGCGCACGCATCCGCACACACACGTACGCATGCACGCTGTCGCTCACGCGCACGCACGCACGAACACACGAGCACACATGCGCGTATGAACGTGGAAACGCATTCTAATGGCAAGATCACAGTCTCTTTATAAGCCAAAAAATGAATAAGCATGCGTGAAATAAAATGAATAAGCATGCGTGAAATTTTATCCCCTTTTTGAATTTGAGAAATCATGAAAAGACGTCTGCGTGCAGTCATTTACACAGAAGCGCGGGTGAACCGAGAGCTTCGTAAGTGTACGAATTTACCCGTGCGACATTTAGCATTTTCTATGCGTGGAATCGATGGAATTTTATAAATAACTACAATTTTATAATCACTTTCGGATGCTGAATTTGCTCTAATGTGTTTGTGCGTGTGTGTGTGCGCGCATGTGTGCCTGCGTACGTGTGTGTGCGTGCGTGCGGAGACTACTGTCTGTATAGTAAAAATCAACATCAGCAACCACCGCCCATGGTCATATATGCACGCGCGCGCAACGAGCATCGCTGGGTGTTAGAGAGGTCATAATAGCAGCGCGTTTATGAATCCAATTTCTTCTTCCCTTTCACTAGTTAATGCGTAATCTTTATCGACATGAGACATCTTGTATAGGGCTACCGATGTGCAATTACTAGTCACGATTTACGTAATTATGTTTCGTCACGATTTATGTTGTAAATTGTGTTAGAGTCACGTGCCAGCTAATAAAGTTGCATATAAAATTTGTCTACTATTAATACAGAGTATATTTAAAAATGCTGACCCAGTAAGAAGTTTCCTTGCGGTTGGTTAGAGAATATAAAACTACAATTATAGACGCATCTATGGTCGTGTAAACAAAATCTTCTGAAATCCCCGCTTTCACTTTGGCATATTTGTTCTGGATATGTATAGATTCAGATATGTGGTATGGTGGCATATGCTATAATGATACGTGTTGTATATATGGTATTATCAGGAGTGAATAATAAAGATTCTATTATACTATTTATCTCTATTATTCACTCCTGGTATTATGATATGTAGTACTATGATCTATGATATCGTATATAGTATGGTCAGCAATGGTGGTATGATAGTGATAGTATGCAGCACATGGCATACATGATATAATGGTGTATGTATGGTATAGTGGTGCATTGCATATATTGTATTATACATCATATACTGTATGGTTAATTGGTATTGTATAGGTTGCTGGTAGTTGCACCTATTGCCTGAGCTGTCCCATCTCCATCGGAATTATGTCAAGGTGAGGCACTGGCACATACATTGTGTTTATCTGACGTGATGCTGAATGATAGAATACTCCCAACAACAACCCCCCCCCCCGGGGGTGTTGTTGTCCCTTTCAAACATTTGTCACCGAGTAAGAACAGGAATTGAGCAGGACCACGGTCAGGGTGATAGCACTGACAGCTACACCCAGACGTCTATATGCTTTTAGACAAACTGTGACGAGTATTTTCAACATTCCTATCTTTGCTTGCGAAGGTAACATGTAGTAATATTACCCTATAGACAAATAATTTGGATTAGAGAAAGTGAATACGTACGTCACTGAGCGGTGGTTTCTCCCAAATGTATTTACAACTAGAAAGAAGGCACTCAGTGAGTGCGAATCCTCCGCACACGCGATCACCACATCTGTGATATCAGAACGCTATTTTACAGCTAGTGACATAAATCGATATCAGAACACACTCTGGCACACACAACACGCCTGGAAATACCGCCTGGAACCCCCGGCCCGCGTTAGCAATGGTACGGTACTACGGTCCTTCTGCTATGACCCAGCGTTGGTTCTACACTTATCCTGCGGACGAAGTGTAGCTCTATAGAGATCAGTGTTCGAAATATACTTAATGACCCTGTTGGGTCAAGGTCACTCAGAATCAATAGGGTTCTTCCGCTCCATAAGATGCACCTGTGGACCAAGGTTGAAGTTTCTACCATATACGGTTGCAAAGAAATCGCGGTAAAGATATCGAGCGGACAGTCACATACACACGCACGCGCACACGCGCACACGCGCACGCACACGCACACGCACACAAACAAACGAGCCAAAAACAATACCCTCCGCTACACTTCGTGCAGAGCATAATAAACGATTGCAATAGTATTGCCATACCAGGTGTTAGGTAATCTCCGTCGAGCATGAGAATGGTACACCTACAAAAATAGAAAAATCGCTATTAGTTTACCAACCGACAGTGTAAATGAGTGCCAATGATACCAAGTATAAAGCGTGCATAAATTATGTATGAATAAAATTAATGAAGTCTATTTACAAAAGCAGCCAATTCCGTGGATGATGACTTCCGTGCGATATGTATAATAAATAAGAATGGTGTATCCCTTAGGGATGCCGGTTTTTCGACCTAGTGGAATTGTATTATATGGTTTTATCTCTATTAATTATCGTTGCTGGTAGGTAAGGCTTCTGGGTGTTTGTGGCCAATATGGAAAATGAATAATTTCGTAGGCTTATGATTACATATAGTTCGTGATAGAGAGCTATATAATCCCAATACAAATTTGCGAGCGTGGTTCGTATGTGTGTGTGTGCCTGCGGGCGACCGGGCGTACGTGCTTGGATCTGATTATCAGTATACTTTATCCGTGCATGTTTCTCTCTCTCTCTCTCTCTCTCTCTCTCTCTCTCTCTCTCTCTCTCTCTCTCTCTCTCGCACTCCTTCTCTCTTTCTTCCCTCGCTCGCACGTCCGCTCTCTTCTCTTCTCTCTCTCTCTCGTTTCCTCTTTCCTCTCTCTCTTCGTCTCTCTCCCTCTCTCATCATCTGCTCTCTCTCTCTCCTCTCGTCTCTCTCTTCTTCCCCTCTAAACCTCTCGCCGTGTCCCTGGATCTCTTCCTCTCTCCTCTTTCCCTGCCCCCTTCCTCTCTCTCTCTCTCTCTTCTTCCTCTCTCTCTCTCTCCCTCTCCTCCTCTCCCTCTCTCCTCTCTCTCTCTCTCTCTCTCTCTCTCTCTCACTCTCTTTTCCTCCCCCTCTAACCTCTCTCGTGTCCCTCCCGTCTTATACTGTCTCTCCCGTCTCTCCCTCCTCTCTCTCTCTCTGTCGCTCCCTGTCTCCGTCTCTCTCTTCAGGCTGTCCTCCCCGCCTTCCTCTCCGTCCCTCTCGTCCCCTCCGTCTCCCTCTTCCTCTTCCTGCCAACTCGTGGGCCTCTCTCTCTCCTCATCCCTCTCTCGCTCTCTTCCTTGTCCCTCCTCTCTCCCGTCGAATCCACTGTCCTGCCCCTCCTACCTCTCTCTCTCCTCCTCTCTCTCTCTCTCTCCTCCTCCTCTCTCTCTCTCTCCTCCCTCCTCTCTCTCTCTCTCTCTTCTCCTCTCTCTCTCTCTCTCTCTCTCTCTCTCTCTCCCCCCGTCCCTCTCCACAATCTTGCAATGCTTCAGTTTGCCGGTATAGTATCAGGGGGAAAGATGTTGATGGGGTATTTTATTACGGAATAGTTAGACTAGAGAAAGCCGCATATTACATAGGGTTAGTTTTCTAACACTGATGTAACTAAGGCCACAATTTTTAGGGACCCCTTTATTCGGGCGTCCTATAGCTGCCCCTGTAACCTAACTAATACCAGTAACACTACTTTAGTAAATACGTCCTACACAGTAACGTTTGATTTTATCGCTGTGGTTCTAGAAGATCCGGCTTTATATACGCTTATAGTTCGTTAGCAACGTAAGCAGGGGACTGGAAAGCCTCCCACCAGCCTGCACTCTATCATTACTAAGCATGCCCGAGTTTAATCCAGGCTCATGATTTTCTCGTTTTACTTTTTCTTATAGGGTCTCGTGCATCACTACTTGGGTAACAACGAGATGGCAGAGAAGATTCTAAGGGACACTGTTAAAGCTGATCCTACTTCTCATGAATCCTGGTGAGTATCCATAGTTTGTGTTGAAATTTTACCATCACCTTCATCATCAGGCATGTTGCTGTCTCTTCTTGTCACTGTTATTATAGATATCCATTTTGTAATTATCATTATTAACAGTAACAGCATCTTAGGATCACTGTAATTGTCATCACCAGCAGAAGCAACCGTTGGTATCATTAAAATCATAACAAGATGCAGTGTGGTAGTCATATATAATAGCAAGAGCGTATTATTACCCTTCTTAATACGCTCTTAATAATAAGCGTTGCGATTATGATTAGCAGCAGCAGAAATAGAAACGACATCGTTGCTATAGTTACTATTGTTATCGGCTATGTCACCGAAATCATCTATATTTGCGGTTGTCTGTCCGCACTTCGTCTTTCATCTGAAGCACGGAAATTATAATAGCCGGGAGGGTCCGTCATTATACAGGGATACGAGTATATACGTGTGTATAAGCACAGCAGTGACAGTACTATCGCCTCGTTCGTCACAACATGTTGTCAGTTTGTGTGCAACGACGAGGGAGAAGTTCCGTGCATGCATGTTTACTGCTTCTCACCCTTTCCACGCTGTCTGCCGCGCGCGTCTCAGTGAGATCGTCTACGGTGATCATGTGGCGGCGGGAAAGGGGCGAGTCTAGCGATCATCGTTATTAACGTAACAGAGAAGCAGGTGCGAGGTAGGTCGGTTTGCCGGTGTGAGGCTGTATTCGGTGGGGGGGGGGAATTCTCGGTGTGTGGCCGCCACGAGAGTTACGCAAGGCGAGTTGTAACGCGTGAGAGGGCGCGCGCGCGTAAGCTGGGTCAGATTGTCCGTCACCGCCGGAGCTTCTTAACATTGAATGGCATAAATTGTTATTGTTTTTCGTGTTTGTTTGTTTGTGTTTTTGGAGCGGCGCGCGCGAGGTGTGCGTCTGGCGAGCGAGCGAGCGTCGCTTCCCCGGTCGCTCTACAGCGCGAGCGAGGCGTGATCGTAAAACATGGCGCATATTTAGTGCACGAAGCGTGCTGTCTGGACATTTTTGCAATAGAGCGAGAAGCGTTTATTCAGAAACGTTGAGAAGTGTTGAGAAGAAGACCCGTGATAGAATTATCCGATACATGTACGAAGAGGATCGAGATGCACTCTAACGCTGTTGTTCTCTTCGTGACTACACTTATCTTCATCTTGTTACCGAGTATGGCTTCAGCAGCGATCGGCGTTTGTAGTTTCATTTGATACGCTCCTGGTCCGAATTCGAACATTGTGTGCTTGTTGACGATGCGTGTGCATGAATGTTGTGTCCTCCCACGCCACAGGTGTTTGTAAATTACCACGCCTCTGATAGATTACTAGCTGTAGCCTTAGATTACACTGCGTGTACAACGCATGCGTCGTGGCGCGCATCGTCGAGCGGTTGTCGGCTGTCGTCGGTCGTCGGCAAAGGTTATTGTTACTGGTTAAAAAATGATTATTAAAAACGCGAGGACGACTCGGAATATTTTGCTGAATGCTGCGACGCGCCTGTGTGCTGCTATAGCGCCACCTTCTATGCCCAAATCCTCGAGGCTATCGTTAACGCAGTTAAGCTTTATCTGATTTGCACTCGACACGCGACATGCATGAGCAGTCTGCGCAGTAAACAAGAAAGACGAAGGTGACCAGTCTTAATCGCGCACTTAAAATTAATTATGAAAATTGTCATTAGGGAAAATTCGACGAACATGGAGCTGATGATCTCTTATCGATGTTTCATCGCGACTGGGTATTGATACGCGGTTTTGTTACCTATGCTGCTGGTACAACGGTTCTTTACAGTCTTGAGCGCAGTGTGAGTGACTTCGGTCCGGGTGTGATTCGCAGCGAGTGTGTGCGGCGAGAACGCGAATTTCGAGGGGCTGTCTTAAAGAAAAGAAAGTGCGGCGGCGCGGCATATGCGATTTGTTAGAAACTAGGGGGAATCGATAGAAGCCACTGATGGGGATGCTGCAGCGAGTGAGTGCGCGTGCAGCAGCAGCAACAGCAGCGTGATGCGTGCGACAGGCGGCGGCGGCCGGCTGTACGTGGCGGGCAACCGCGATCTCCTGGACAGATGAATTATTTCGCGATCAGGGATGACACGCGAGAGCTGTAAAGGCACCCGAACACTTCTCGACAGGAATTTCATTACTGAATTGTGGATTGGACCGAACAAGCTTGCCTTCGCGCCATGGCTGAGTGCGCGCTCTCTTACCCACTCCCTATTTCACTCACTGCGCGCGCGCGTGCGTGTATCTGTGTCTATGTGTTTGTGATCGTGTGTGCGTGCGTGCGTGCGTGCGTGCGTGCGTGCTTGTGTATGTGCGTGCGTGTGCGTGTCTCTTATTCTCTTTGTCTCTCTCTCTCTCTCTCTCTCTCTCTCTCTCTCTCTCTCTCTTTCTCTCTCTTGCGTGGTCTCTCTCTCTCTCTCTTGCGTGGTCTCTCTCACCCTCCTATCTCGCTCTCTCTTCCTCTCTTGCGGGCCCTCTGACTCTCTCACATACTTTCGTACATCCTCTTTCTCTCACTCTCTCCGTCTTTGTCTTTTTCTGTCTTTCTGATCTTGCTCCTTCTCTCGCCAGCCATTGCACAGCCTCTATTTGCGGCGAATTTGCACGATAAATGTGTGGGTAATTACGTCAAGAAATCAGCAGGCAATCAAAGTAAGTTGAGCGACTGCGTGATGAAGGCCCGTCCGTCTGATTGAAAGGCGCGCTCGTTCATTAGGACGGGATGATCGCGCTTTGTTGAACAGACAGATTAGCACTGTCTTGCAGCATCGAGCTTTTCCTGTTCGGGCGGCTGACAATTAAGTGTTGAGGCGAGCAGCTCGCGAATCTGCCCGTGTTTCGTCGAGGTAATCGCTGCCACGTCGTCGAGCGGTGCCTGCAGCCACCGACCGTGACTTGACACCACCGTCAATGCTGTCAGCACGTCCCACTCCATCACCTCAGCCGTCTGCCGTGCTATCATCTCTTTTCCTAGCATGTCTGTGATCATCATCGTTATCATCATCATCATCATCAGCAGCAGCAGCAGCAGCAATAACATTAACAGCAACAACAAAACAGCAACAGTAGCAGCAGCAACAACAACAACAGGCGGCAGGAGCAGCAGCAACAACAACAACAATGACAGCAGGAGGCCTTATACACATAGCTTGTATTAGCAACAACAATACATACATACATACATAATACATACATGCATAAGTTGTATTAGCAACAACAAAAACGCCAACACCCAGCCGACATTGTGAAATTACGTTAATTTTGCTGAGTGGGATGAACTATTGTAGCACACGTCTGTGACGCCATTAACGTTATGTTCGTTTCGGGCTCTCTCGTTATTGGAACCATGTAGCATCAAACATCAAATTTTCTCTCATGTCCGCAATTCTGGTTGATTGTTTTTTCCTAATTTAGACACTAAACGAATAGTGGGGCTTCAACGATGGTGTAATATTTCCAGTTAAATCGTTATACAAACCAGCAGTAAATGTCTGATTCAGCATTTCAGTAAATTCTTCCAGCAGCGATTTCTATCGGTCCACATGATTTAGGAATCATGTAATCAAGTGTGACTTCTCGTATCAAAAACAATTGAAGCTAAAACTGTTCCCAGAGTAACTCCCGCTTTAACAAGCGAATTACCTGGGTAAATCTTTCCACGCGTTTTGAGTTGCTGTTTAGTATATAGCTGCTACTGAGGCTTCCTAAAGTTTGCTGTCATGGTTTTATTTCCATATCTGTCATGTTCGATACTCTAAACTATGAATTTTTGGTGCTGCATGGGCGTCTATTCAAATCTAGGCGCACTCGAACCAACGGCGGGTGATGTGTGTGAGGTTTATTTCGTTACATGGCAACATAATATGATAGGAACATGTGAATTCGGGCCGCACACGCCAAACTTGCCTTCTAGGACATGCCGCCGTAGACATAACCAAAGTAACACGCAATAGTATTGTGAAAATAACACCGAACGTATAATTTTAATTGATACGGTAGTTTTTGTTCATATGCGCACTGTTACGTCTACTATTGCTATGGCGGTGGCATTAACAAATTAAAAGCAATAATAGTTATTATTATTATTATTATCATCATCATCGTCATCATCGTCGTTGTCATCGTCGTCATCATCATCATCACTATTATTATGACTGTATTGATGTCGGAATCGTTATTGAATCGTTGTTAGCAACAGTATTATCAGGGGTACATGTCTGAAGGTGAACAGAATCTCTTAGCTTGTACTACTGGCATTATTATAATAGCAAGAGCTAATAATTATTATGCTAGCTCTTGTTAATAGTGATGTTGTATATATTATTTGTTTATATTGTTTAGTTTGCTTTAATATTGATCAGCACCGTTGCTCTTTTACCTCGTTTTCTAATATGCGTCTGCAATAAAATAAATAGTAAATATAATCAACTCAATTACGTTAAAACCCATCTGGTTTTGTCATGTGGATATCCCTGTAACTTCAGGTCGTTCGTTCTCTGCATAGCTGGGAACAGCACTGTTTCTATGCATGTAATGGGACTGCTTAGTGTCGTTTCATACCCGCGCAGCGTTTGGGATAACCGCATGTTATCGATGTTTATTTTGAAGGTAGCATCTGCCCCGAACTGCTTAGAGCTACCCTCGCGCTATGCGACTCGCGTGCCATGCAACTCGCGCAACTATGCCACCGAGTGCAGTTTATCCGCTACTACGCGCCCAGACATCCGCACTGCGGTAAACGTGCACATGGTGAACCCTCCATCATCTGCTGCATGGTTGGTTTTGTATACAGGAGGCCAAACCCAAAAAATCTCAATTTGAGATGAATTCGCCACGCTAGGAATGACTTATAGTAATAATTGCGGCATGGCTTCAGTTATTGTGTAATTACGCCCCGTCAGAGGCCTAGTTTTTTTCTCCAAGAAAAAAGCAGCGTAAACCAATTAAGCGAGAAAAACCAGTGCCAGCCGCTCGTGATTACGTTCG